TTCAGTTCTTGTAATTGAGGAATATGGGACACTAGATCTAGAAGGTGTGTAACTGAGTGAGTGCAGGGCTGAGCTCAGACACCTCATGCATTTCTTTTCCCAATGAAGGCTTCAGCCCTTTTATTTTGTAATCACAAGTAATCTATGCATCATGCATTTCTTTTCCCAATGAAGGCTTTAGCCCTTTTATTTTGTAATCACAAGTAATCTAGTAGCAAAAAAAGCTTTAAACTGCTGCTTGCCCCCGAGCTAATGCTACCCTAATACTTCACAGCTGCTTATGCCAGAGGTTGTTTCTACTCCTTATTCCTTCCAAACCAACCACCACACCAGAGCAACAGGAGAGTGGGAAGCCAGGCAGGAGAGCAGCACTAGCTGCCTGTTTAGTAGCTTATTTATTCAGTCCATGTAACTTCTGAGTCCTACAGAATGCACAGAGTGACCTTTCTGTGGTACAATAATCACTTTAAGCCTTACACTGGCTTCTTAGCTTGAAGTAAACTCATGCTGACAACTACAAGGCTTCAAGTCAAAGTTAGCTCAGAAGGTGCTCATCTCTACTAAGTGTATATCCAGGACTAGTGTTGTCTAGTCAGTGAACATTGGTTTTGCACCTTATGGCCAAAAAATACAGACATACTGGCTTTTCCTGGTTCTCCCTACCCCTTTCCCAAGTGCAACCAACACTATAAAGCCCTTTGTTTTCTTAGTGTTTAAATGAGTTCAGTTGTGGCAGTTAAATGATCTTTTAGCAATTACTTCTCAACTTCTACAGATAAAATGACAGCATTTCCTTACAACATCTGAAATGTGGCTGCAGTGACCATCTGTTGCTCTGTGTTGCCTTAGGCTGTCTGTGTCTGTCCTTTCTTACGCAGCGAGGCTAGTTCTGGCTGCAGGACAGCCATGTAATGCCAAGCAGATCACATGAATGATGCTGCTGCTGCCTAATTGCTATTTATTTTAGTCATTCCTCATCTCCACACAGGCATTATGTGAAAAATGCATTCCAGGGCAACCCAAAGTTCTACATCTGCGTGGCTGTACTTAAAAGGAGAGAAGAAATGAGTGTAAACCAATCTCCCCAGCAAATACCAGTTTGGGATTGCTCCCTGTGCTGGGCAGGTGCACATCTAGATACAATTTCTGGCATCTATTTAAACTGAACAATGTGCACAACCAGATGATCCCAATGTAAATAATACATCCTGGTTGGTTTGTGCAAGCAGGAGTGCAAAGTGCTCGTTTAGGTTTGCTGCTGCATGGAAAATGTATGTTCTCTGTGCTCTTATTGCAAATAGAGATTTATGCTGCCTTGGTTTTACAGCGAACAAACCAACCCCTCACCTCTAACCCTCCCTCCAAGGAACCAGAAGAGAAGAAACCCTGCTCAGACGTGACCTTTGGATCCCAGGCCTCCCACGGGAAATGGCTGCTTCCTGCCCAGCTCCTGTCATCACACCACCAGCTCCCCAAAAGCCAGTTAACTAACTAAAATAAATGCATCCAGCTTTGCAACAACCTGCCTAGAAACACATGGCTTCTCCTAATGAGGATTTGGCTCAAAACTAGAGGAAGGAATTGTTTCAAGTGCTGATCACACTGAAGTTGTTTGCAAACAACTTCCCTGTCTATGGCTGCCACCGTTAGAGATGTCATCCACGGTCCTGTCTCCTCTAATTTCATAGAATGGTTTGGGCTGGAAGGGACCTTAAAGCTCATCCAATTCCAGCCCCTGCCACGGGCAGGGACACCTTCCACTAGAGCAGGTTGCTCCAACCTGGCCTTGAACACTGCCAGGGATGGGGCAACCACAGCTCCTCTGGGCACCCTGTGCCAGCGGCTCATCCTCATAGTGGAGAACATCAACTCAAGTCACACAATATAAAGGTGTCACCTTCAAGCCCCCAGCGTTAAAACATGTGGCTCTAATACCATTCATTTTTTAGGTCAAGATTTTAGGTTAGTTTTCGCATTTAATGATGTATGGGGAGAGTTGTTATAAACCATTATCCTCAAAACCACCTCTCCAGCCAGTGCACCTCAAATCACGGCATTAGGAGCAGCCCGTCTCGTATTGAAAGAGTAGAATGATTTTTATCTTTATTTGATATTCCATTTTTTGCTATTCTTCTTCCAGAAAGTTCAGTGTAAATATGAATAATCCTTCCTACCACTGCAGAGTAGTGATTACATTTCAAATAAAGTGGTTTTTACAACTAAAATACCAAGGACCAAAATGCTGAGTTGTAGTGTGTGGTTAAACCCATATGCCCTCAAGCTGTGGGTGGTTTTAGTTAATGAAAATCACAGGACACCAGGTTGGAAGAGACCTCAAGGATCATCTGCTCCAGCCTTTAAAATGTTTATACTTTAATACCTGTGCAATCCAAGTGGAAAAGCTGTTAGTAACTGTTGGAAGGGAATTGTGTCCGTTGCTCCCTTTAGCTCCTATTCCCTTCTGCTGTCAGCTTCCTGTGCCATTGGGTGATGGCTGTACTCATAGGATGCCCAGCTGATGTGGGGTGGTGGAAGGTGAGCCCAAACCAGCTCTGGTTTATATATATCTGGTTATACATAACCTGACTGTAACCTCTAGCTGGAAATTAAATGGTTTTGATCTGAAAAGCATCTGGAAATGAACCACACGCTCATCTAAATCACTCCCTTCTGTTTAGTCTTATAAGAACAAAAGGAAACGAGTATACAGTAAGTAGAAAAGGTGGTGATGGACAACATGAGCTAGTGGTGCCTCACACCATGGCAATTACTAAAGATCATGAAATGTAGTGTTTAATGATGTTTCAGGGAAGCACAAAGCTCTGTGCTGGATTCTGCTGCAAATGCTCCTCCTTACATGCCTGTGCTAGTTGAGCAGTTACTGTTTCTTTGACCCCTTTGCTGTACCAGGCTGCTGCCTTTCAGAAACAGCTGGGGCTGTTAAGAACCATTTCCAGTTCCACACAAGGTGGATCGTATGACTCGCACTTTATCACCCCTTGAGGCCATCTCAAGGACAAAGAAAAGAGATACACTCAAAACTAATGTTTTTATATGGGGGGAAGGCTCTCACCATCATCTCGAGTTGAACACGAGACCAGGCTCATTAGAACCTGAAGCCCTTCTGCTTCCTTCCTTCTTAATTTGCCATTTCAGATGTTGTCTGGGTGGAAGTAGATGTTCTCCAAGCAGCCTCAAGGGCTGGTGGTCCCTCACCCCACCACATATGGAGGGCACACTGTGGGTTTTGGCTTTCACAGCCTCTGGAGACAAAGATCCCTATTGACACATCCTGATACACATCTCTGCCCCTCAGCCTACACTGCCCCAAAGAAAGGCCACACTGTGGGCAGAGCTCTTGTGTGCCACCACCAGGGTCACACCCTCGCAAAAGCTCTACATACTTGTGGAAATACTTAAGTTGTGTTGCTTTATAGTGAACTGTTACAGTGTAGGCACATCACTAACCTCCACTCGCCCCCAACAGCATCACAGCTACTACCCCAGAGCACCTTTTTGTTCTCCCTGAGCTGCCACGGGTATAACCTTGTGGAAAAAGTAAACTGCAGCCAACAAATAAAGCTGGAAAAGCAGAACAAACACACTCAGCTTGTAGACACTTCATTTACAGCATTCAGAGCTGACACAGGTGGAAGTTCCCAGAACAGCTGATTCACACACTCACCATAACACAGCCCATGTCAGCAGCAGTCTGGAATGTGACAGCACACTGAGAAGCCTTAAATGAGGATGGGTTTGCTTTTTGTATGGGAGGAAAAAGGACAGACTGGCTCCTAGATTACCTATACTATCAGGAATGGCTTTATGATTCATTTTCTTATAATGTGCCTTATATATATAATGATTCAATCAATTTGTATTCTCTCCACTACTTGCAGCAGGGGCTGTGCTGTGCAGAGGGAGAAACTGCAGAATTTAGTCCATTTACACCTGCAAATTACTATGCAATAAGTGGGGGTTTATTGAGGATTTTTATCCCTGAAGCACCCAGTACCTACTTTCAAAGCACAGTGTGACACCCTCAGGTTTTATTTCAGTAGAACCAAGAGCTTTTGGCTTTTCAGCCCTGTTAGAAACAGGTTGAGAGTCAAAAGGCCACAAGAGTGTTCAAATCAAATCACAGCTGATGACTACAGCAAAGGAAGATGCATCCTCCAGCAAGAACCTTTCCCTTCCCAAACATCACAGCCTCTGCCCCTGCACCCAGCATTAACTTTGCTGTGTCTGGTGCTTACAGAACTCCATCATTCCAAAAGTGCTGGCATTGAATAACACATAATACAAGAAAACCCAAAGCCTGTGGGTGAACCAAAGCTGCTAATGAATTACCATCCCAATGGGCTGCAGCACTTGGGTTTGGGGCTGAGCATTAGATCCTGGCCAGTGATGCTGCTGGAGGCCACGTGTCCTCCCCTCCAGCACCAGCTGAGAAACTGAGTGCTCAGCTCAGATCCAGAGCACACCTCATACTGACACACAGGCTTGGGCAGCAAACAGCAGTGGAGGACAGAGACCGACACCACAAGACAGTTTATGTCACAGAAACAATTCAGTGAGAACTTCAGAGCTACCAGTCAGGAGGTTCTACTTAATACTTAACCCACTTGCTCATGCTTTTTATGCTGGGAAACCTGTAAACTCAATGCCAGCAAACCACTTTGCTAACACAGCCAGGGGACTTCAGCCTTAACTCAAAATTTGGTCCTTTATTAGGGAGTTTAAGTTTACAAACGGTAACAAAAAGTATTACACTCCTGAAGACGACACCAAATCACATTTCCAAATGCTCTTCAAAACAGTCCTTCCTTTAAAACAGTCCTTGCTTACTTTGTGTTTCAATATGCATGGTGTGTTCCCTGATTTTCATTAGGAAACAGGAATTGTATTACACCACGAGCAGGTTTACCTGCAATGCCAGACACCGCTCATGGAGAATACTCTGTCCTTTCACAGTTTAGTCCTTGATCTTCACAGCTTCATTAACTGATTTTCTTCTGACTTCTACTATTTTTTGAGTCCCAGAGAATAACAACATTAAAATACACCAAAAATAATACAAAATGTAAGCAAGAGAGAACAGATACAGATAGAGGGAATAAATCCGGTAACCTCTGTGGGGGATGCACCGTGGCACTCATCAGAGACAGGACAGCCATGAGGGTTATGGACAGAAGGAACTGTAAGAGAAGGAATGATGCATTAGCTAATGGTGATTCAACACCTCAAGTGAGTAAGCTGTTACTCTACTATGTGGCTGCTGTGTATTCTTCAATCTATACTTGCAGTAAAACATTACAGCACATCTCTACACAGACACAGTGCAGCTTTCTGTGTTTGGAGCTGTATCATAGAATCCCAGGCTGGTTTAGGTTGGAAAGGACCAGTTCATCCAGTTCCAACCCTCTGCCACAGGCAGGGACACCTTCCACTAGAGCAGGTTGCTCCAAGCCCCTGTGTCCAACCTGGCCTTGAACACTGCCAGGGATGGGGCAGCCACAGCTTCTCTGGGCACCCTGTGCCAGCGCCTCAGCACCCTCACAGGGAAGAACGTGTACTTATGGACATAAAACTGGTTTATTCAACTACTTCAGGACCAGGAAAAGCTGCAGGGAAGAGCTGTGGGAATTAAAGTGACTTACCAGCGTCCTGACAATCTTGGGAAAGGATTTAAACCAAGAAACATATCCCTTCAGGGAAAGGGAGAACTGCTTCAGCTGCAGGTCCTCTGCTGACGTCTTCTCAAATATGGAAAAGGAAGTGGTGCAGACTGAGAGGAACGCCAGCATGGTCACAGTGTAGGCCAGCAGCAGGCCATCTTTCAGCAGCAGAGGCAGCATGCTGTTAAAAGAGAATTACCCTCAGAAGTGAGGGCAGATTTCAAGTTAGATTTCAAAGAATGTAAAGAGAAAAGGGAAAAGGAGACATTTATACTGGAACTGGGGAAAGAACATGGGGTTTAAATACTACTAGTAGCGTCCAACTCACCTGAACGTTGACACAAGTAAAAACCATGTGGCCATAAAAGGGATTTCATTTATGATTAAGCAGACTGGTCTAGAATGAAGAGAGGAGAAACATAAGCAAACTCTGAAGTGACAGCGCTTCACCCTCCACCCTTCACACGACTGCTGCACTCCCAGTCCTCCAGGAGGCCAGGCAGAGCTCTATTCCCCACTGGCACAGGCTTGGAAAACCCAGGAACAGGCAGCACCTGAAGTGCATCCTCTGCCAGAGCCTCTCCAAATCCTCCTTGATCAAACATTACCTTCAAGTACACATGGGACATCCAGCTCAACCTGCAACCACGCCGGGCAGCTGAGTAACACCTCTGCTTAGCACGGACCATCACCTCAACCAGCCCCAGGCAGGCAGCTCTGGCCTGCACCACATGGTGCTCCAGGACACACAGCCCAGAGATGGGAGGAGCAGGAGAGAGCAGCATGGCTCTATTTGCATGCTTTCACTTATGAGTTATTCAGAAAAGCAAATGTGTGGAGTTTTTACAATCAGATGTATTTGTAAGTGAGGAAGCAGCATGCAATAACAAGATGAGGAAAAGAAGATCAAAATATATCCCCAGAAAAATAATTTACTTACACTGACACTAGAAGAATAGATTTTTCATGTACTTGAAAGGAGAACAGGAAAAATGACAATGCACAACTAACCTTAGGAAAGCAAATCAGAGACACATTAGTCTATGTGACTGCAATGCAAAGGGATGCTTTAGTTTCTCTGCTGGCAGAGACTCGACAGGAATCTCTGAGCTAAATGATGTGTTTTTTCTAATTAACTGCTACATTTACTCCAGTGCCATTTCCAAGTGCTTCTGTCACCACCTCTACACACGGAAAACTACACTGTTTGAAAGTTTACTCAGGGTAGTCAAAAAGCACTTCACGTGAAGAGCCCTTGCTCTGCTTTACTGGCAAGAGCATCCCCAAACTGTGGGATACTCTGTTGTGTGGCAAACACAACATCCACACACATCAACACTGGCACAGCTCAGTCCTGGGGAGAACTACCCACCTTTCTGACAGAGAATTTTGCTTCTTGTCCTGACCAGCCAGGACACCCAAACACAACCCCCTCCCCCCCACCAAATAAAACACACACTAAACCAAACCAATTCTACGAATAGATAAATGTTAATTTTAAGGCAACGTTGTGATGAGCTCTCAAACTTTACTCACAGAAAATTAAAAAGAGAAATTATCTTTTAACTCTTGAAACCTTAGGACCAGCTCCATAGGATTTTGAGGTCAAGGAAAAACTGGGTTTTTCATGTAAGTCAGGTTAATGTGCTTAAGTTCAGTGATATATGAGTAAGTAAAGGCAAACATTTGGGAAAAGAGTATAATTCTCTTCTCAAACCCCTCATGAGCTCACACTGTCCATCTTGGGACTTCTGTTCTTGAATTTTGCAGCTGATGGAATAAAAAAAACTAGCACTTTGGAAGCTAAACAGTAAGAGACATTCCAACCCTATATGAGGCTTTAACACGTACAGAAGCTTTTAGAGACCCTTCAGAGGAAGATAATAAAAACAGAGCGTTAAATAATTGGGGCTCAGGGAGAAAGTCTGGATTTAAAAGACACATCAGGCCCCTGGACACATGGTAACACACCACTTTGTAAGTGGTCCCTTCAGCACCAGCGCAACGGCATTGAACGATACCACACTTCTCGTCACAGCAACTGTGAGTGGAACTGGTACTCACGGGTGGATCTAAACCAAGGAGCAGTAAAAAGCATGCACTTACCAAAGCAAACTTAAATCCTCGGATAGAAGGCTGGGCTGTGAGCTTTATACATGCAGGCAGCAGGCTCAGGAACGTTACAGCAAAACTGAAGAATTGTGTAAGAAAAACAGTTTTAATACATGAGTAGCTACATCCAGTCTCATCTGATCACTTCTGAAGATTATCTAAGCTTGGAATTCAGTTTTCATTTTCAGAAGTACAAAATGACCCAAAGAGGCTCCATCACAAGAGCACTGAGTGCTCTTCACTCACAGACATGCTTTTGAACAAGGAATAAAGCATTTATTAATGGCAGTCCTGGGGTAATTGTTGGCCTTGATGAATTGAAAGGTCTTTTCCAACCCAGCTGATTCTGTGCTTTCCATTAACATTTCTGACTCTGCAAGATCTAAACTCGAATCCTCTGTTTAGCCAGAAAACAGAACTGTGAACTCTGACTTCCAAGAGCACTAAGAAGGGGTTATTCTTTAAGGGGAAAGCATGGAGTTTTAACTGAGTTTTAACCAACCAAGTAGCTGAAACCACTATATAAACAAGCAGGATTTTTTTCAGTCATCAATATTCCTAACAGAACTTGGGGAACAGAATCACAGGATGGTTTGGGTTGGAAGGGAGCTTAAGATCATCCAATTCCAACCCCCCTGCCATGGGCAGGGACACCTCACACTAGACCATGTGTCCCAAGGCTCTGTCCCACCTGGCCTTGAACACTGCCAGGGATGGAGCATTATCACTTGGAGCAAGCATCACTTGGGAGGAAGGTACATACAGTAAAGAAAACATTTTTTCAAGATTTTAAACACCACTTCTCTTTCTTTGACAAAAATCACTCATTTTGCAAAATATAACACTAAAGCCACCAATAATAACCCTCCTAAAGCACTTCAGTTTTGTCTTACCTGAGTTTTAGTTGAGTTTGAGGTGATATTATATTCTTTATCTTTATAAGGACACTTAGACTGCACCAAATATTGGCTACTTTATCCTGGAAGAGGGAAAAATAAGGTAATTAATGATAGTTACATTCATTTAAAATTACATTTGTGACAACATTGGGCTTGGAATGTGGGGATTATTGGGGTTTACTACAATGGTGCAAAGAGACACTTGCAGATATGCTTAGATGTACTTTGTATTATTCTGATCTTCCAACATGGGAAGTTTCAAGAGTCTTAATTAAAACATGCTCTCAAGTAACCGAGAAACAGTTCTCCAGCACAAGAGATTGGCCCTGAACTCAGGAGATCACACACTTTGTGAGGATAAGGCTCTGAAACTACCTGTCCCTGAGTAAACACTGGTGTATATGAATCTCTGCTCAAATGTGAAGACATTCTGTACACTTCCCCGTCTCATGACGTACCTGGGTGCCTTTAGCCGTGCTTGCTGCCTGCTAGCAATGACAGAGTTAACCTCTAATAAATCAAGAGGTCTAAAGACATTAGCAGTTGTGCTAGGATCACTTTCAGAATTAAATCTGTAACTACAGCTCTCATGCTCCTGAAACTCATCCCGAAACAGCTGCTGGAGGCACAGCTGTGTAGACATAACACCGCGAAAGCTGCTCGCACCAACAACTGAGCCATCTTCCTCACATGCTCAGCAGCAATACAGAGTATGTGCCTCGAACCTGCTGAGGATTACAAGCCAACAGAGGGCTTGGCAGCACCAGCACACACACACACACGGGACGCCTACTTGGTAGCCAATACGGTTTTACAACCAGTAGCATTTGTTACTGCTGCTGTAAATGGGAACTGATTCAAAGAACCTGTTCCAGGCACCCCGGTGTAAATTTACTGCGCGTTGCTTACGTGGACAATTCCTCGGTTTATCTCGATCAGCATCCAGCAACTCACCCCCTGATCAGCTCAGGAAATATTTGGGCTAATATTAGACTAAAATCCTTCAGCTCTTTCCATCTCTGGTTATTGTCATTAGTTTTAAACTTGGTACTGAATAAGAAGCGTGGTGAACAAAACCAAATTCGAGATCATTCCTTAAGGAATAGGATCATTGTTGGGGTGTTTTGTTTTATTTTGGGGTTTTTTGGAGGATGGCCTTTTTTGGAGGGGTTGTTTGGGGTTTTGTTTTGTTGTTGGGTTGGTTTCTTGGGGGGTTTTGGGTTGTTGTTTGTTTTTAACTAAACTAGCAGAGAGTACACTGAGAACACTTCGATACCACTGCCTAATAAAATGCTGCCTTTGGTCCATTAGCATGAACATCTGAAGAAAGAAAAGTGCCCATTGTGATATTTATATCTAAAGAAGATTAAATGAAAATGTAAGGATTAATCAAGCTATGTAAACATTTGCTTAAATCCCTGAGACACCAAACCCTGGAAATTCAAAGTTTCATTTTACTGCTTAAACTTAAAGCTGAGAAACTGCTTTTTAAAGTGTAATATTAAGATTCGTGCCCTAACTAAGCAAAACAGCAACAATTCCCTGTTGCTGAGGACAGGAATCCCCTTTCCTTTATCAGCAGGACTCCCTAGTGCGGTGTTAGCATTAGGTGAATGAGGAATTGCTTTCCTGGATTAAGGCTGTGGTACTCGGCACCCTGCAGCATGCAAATCTCCATAGCCTGGGGAAAAGGAAAAGCAGAACTGGCCTAAAACGTCTGGAAAATAGTGGATTTTCAGTGCAAGTTGTAAAACGCACCCAAATCATTATTTTTAATTATTTGATTTGAACAATGAATCCTGTTCAGAAGAAGCTGAGCAGGCCCAAAGACAGAGCCTGAAGCTGTTGACTTTCAAGGTTACATCTTCTGACACTGTCAATTACTATGGAATCTATTTCTATGGAAAAATGTATGGATTGAAGTATGGGTTTGATGATGGGATAAGTGTTGTCTACTCATATAATATCCTGGAAGATGCCAGCTGAGCTGGGGTTAAATACTGGATTAAATAACTGGCAAGAAATGACTGCTGAAGAAGCCAGCTCAAATTACTAGTTCTGTGGTGTGTCTCCCACATGAAATCCCTAAAGGTCACGCTGAAGGTTTCTCAAGGGATCTAAGAATACAGAACATTTACAGTGGGGTGGGGGAGAAGAAAACATGCATGCCTCAAACAAGCCTCGGTCAAGTACTTGCATGATTTGTTCCATGTCGGTACAGAACGGGAGCCAGCAGACAGCGAAGGAAACCACCACTGTCCCTGCTATCTTAGTTAGCAATACTAATCTGCAAGCAAGAGAAACACATCAGAAAAGATTAATCCACCTACTGGTGACACAAGCCAGGTCTGAGTTTACAGCACAAACCTTTTACAGCAAGAGATACAGAACTGAAGGTAACAAATCTAAACAAGGAGCCACCAGCACCATAGAAAAAGTTCATTGTCCCCAGGTTAGTGAGAACTCCATGAGAACCACAGAGTTACTACTGACACTCTAATCTGCTTGCCTGCAGCAGCCCAGATTTAATTTAGCTTACAGCATGAAGAGCGCTAAAGACACCTGAACAGATTTTGCTGTTTGTTCAATGGAAATACTTAATGTAGATCTCAACAAGAAATATCTATCTTGCAGGAGAAGAATACATTACAAGAAGGAAAGTATCTTCCACCAGAAATTAATTCAGAGATGCTCACATGCAAACAAGGAGAATGACATTCTCAATGTCAAGAGAAAGGTACACTGGTTTAAGTCACTTACCCCTTTCCTTTCAGTCCCTTCTTGAAGCACTTGCCAAGCAAGTAGCAAAAAAAGGGCAGGGAATGGTAGAGTTCCATTTGCTTGTAATTCAAGGCCAAGCAAAAGGCCACTGACCCCAGAAGGTCCCAGTCGTAAGACAAATACAGAACACCCCACAAGGCAAGGCCCAGGCTCACTGAGTTGTATATGGTTTTTTATGTCAAGGACAAGGTACACATCTTCATAGTGGAAGGCAGTAATGAATGTCCAGAGGGATGAGCGTAAAATAGCACACAAAGTTCTTTCAAGTTAGTTTTAAAAGCACATTGCCAGTTGTAACTATGTTATTCACAGACAGAAGGAACTGTACATCTATTTAAAGTGTAATTTTTAGATATTCAAAGCCTGCATGGGCAAATTTGAGTACAAATAGTGAGTGTGTTAATTATACAGGCACAGGGCTGGAACAGAGCATGCGAGACCCTGCAGCGCATCTGCTTCCACACAGCATCTGCTGCACCTGCATCACCCAGACATGAGGTTTATGGAACCTTTTCTTAAGGATTTAATGCTGCAGATTCCACAACATCCACAGTAAACCTGTTCCAGATTTCACTGCAGTTATGGTTCAGAGATTTTTTCCATGTATTTAAAAGAAAATCCCAAATAGTCCCTATGGTGACTCAGGGATGTTACTTCTTGCTCTATCCAACATGGAACACACAGAACAGATTATTGCCTTCCTCTCTGTACATGCTAGAAAACTAATCCTGTGCCACCTTCTGACCACCAGCTTCTCTCTAAGAGGAACTGCATCCATTCCCATCTCTATCCGTTTAAGCATCCTTGGTACAGATGATCTGTATCTTTAAAGAGTGAGGCCAAAAATGTGATTTCAACAGCCCTGAACTGTAACTCAAATACTTAATTGCATTATGAACTCTTTTCCTTTGAAATCCACATTCTAACATATGCTACCTTCCAAGTTCACCATGCATTCTCTTAGAAAACCAGAAATTAGTAAATTACTTGATTGTCAAGACTTGATTTAGTAGACACAGAGATTCAGCATCTCCTTGGAGATTCACACGAAGTGAATCCAGTCTCAACTAACAGTAAAGGTAAGAGAATGGCACATTTTACAGAAGTGAACATTTTACACAGTACACCTGACAAATTCCTCTGCCACCTCAAGAAGATCTAAGGTGATTCTCTCTCCGAACACAAACCACAGGAGCACAAGCCATCATTCTTTCCACTGTCATAGTGTTGTCACTATCATACCACTGATGCTTTCTGCAATAAAGTGACTGACAAACATGAGCTTGAGGCACAGGAAGAATGCTATTCATGTTTGATGTGTCCCAGTTTCAACTGTTTATCCCCAGTGTATTTTAGACTTACAGTTTTCTTTATCATCTCTGCTTTGGGGTAGGCAGAAGCCTCTCAGATGACTTTGTACACAGAAGTAACCTCCCGCCCAACTACTAAAAGAACAGTGTTACTTTGTCAATTGAAAGGAATTTCACTGCAGAAGAAGGATACTGAAAGTGTCCATGGTCAATAAGAATGAGGCCTGGATAAAGCAGTATGCAGAGAGCACTGGAGACCTGGGAAAAAGGACCAAAAATAAAGAAGAGAGGGGAAATTATTTCTAAGTTAGAAATCAGACAGAGAGACTTGTACTACTGCTCCAGTACAAAAATCTGCCCCTCCATGGTGCATCCTGTATGTAGGAATCTGATTTTCTACAAGTGATATTCTGAGGAATAAAAAAGGAATAAAGATTTCCCATCAGTGAGAAAATATGGGATGGAGACCAGGCTGCCCTTTGCCAACCAGCTCAGAGACCACCCACACCCACCTAAAACCTTGGAACCACTCCAAAAACCCGAAGACTTATTATTCCAGAATGTTTGGGTTCTGCCATAAGGAGTGTGCAAGACAAAGCAGTTCCTAGATTCCCCCATCTTGGGTTTACTACCCAAGTAACAAATTCACAAAGAAACACAATTCAGGAGTTCATGGCTACTAAACTTCAGAGCATCTTCTTATTGAAAGCATCACATTAATTGCTGTCAGGTAAGTTAATGGCTTTATCTTGTTAACTGAAAAGCCTTTAGTATGAGATGTAATGATTGCCATCAGTTTTATGTCAATCGAAGCCACCCCAGTGTCCTATACATTAATTCACTCTCATACTGTTACATTTCTCCCCTGTTTCAACAGTATGTTATCTTTGTTTCTTCATTTACACACACACCAGACACTTGCCTTCTTTTTAGTCGATGTTTCTTTCAAGGAAAAACAATACAAGATAACTGCAGGAATATAAACCAGCAAATCAGCAACAATCACTGAAAAATAAAGATCAACTTTATGTTAGAACCCTCCCACATACCTCATTTAATGCTATTCAAGTCACACATTTTCATGTGGATTGTGAATCTTTGACTCTGCTTATGGTTTTAACTTCTGAATGCTCCCAACCTTGGTTGTATTTGGTGTTAAAAATCCCTCGGATGATCATAACTGCACAGGGTTGGGGTGAGACTAGCTGCCTGCCTTTTGAATGTGGGGTTTGCCTCTGTACCCTCACTGAAAACTTCACTTTAGTCATTCAATTCAACTGAATTTCAGAAGTCACAGGACTATAGTTTCAGCTGAATAAGCTTTTCTGTTGTCTTACATTGTGTTACAGTATGGCTTTTTGTTATAGATAGCTCCAGTTGGCAGTTACACCAAAGCTCTTTTCTGCAATTGTTTAGGGAACAATGAAAACATATAGGCAAATAAACACTAAAATATCAGAAAGTTCTTCATCACAATAAACTGGGGAGTTCCACTTCAAAGGACAAAAAGAAAGGGGTGTACAGAATTTGATCTTGTTAATGTCTTGAACGCTATCATTTCTGATGTCCAAAAGCTGCTGCTTCCATGCGTTCAGCTGTTTTGGCTTCTGGCACAGCCTCAGTCAATAAGGGAGCACACTCTAGTTCCTCACATGCCGAAATGAGAGAAGGCATTCTTCATTCTCCAAAGAAATCAACTACAGCTAGATCCAGTCAAGTTGTTTGATGAAACAGATAGTCTGGAGACACAACTAAGAAGCTCTAAGTTATAACTATCTCCAGTCTGTGTGATGTGGATAAACAGTCTAAAACTAGTTATTTGGCTTTCAACATCTGCCTACAGCAAGTATTTGTAAGAGGGTAGATGAAAGAACCAGTAGGTTCACCTGACTAGAAATGTGTCAACTCCTGCTCGTGCTTAAACCACCAGATGAATTCTCTGAGTGTTGTCTTAAGAGCCTGAGAAGAAGAGTCAGGTTATTTCTATGCACCAGTTTTGGGAAACACACAGTTATTTCAAGAGGGAAAGTATAATTTGCCCCTTCTCAGTCATGGGATTTGGAAGAAAACGTTTAAAACTATCAGTTATTCAGTGCTGAAGCCACAATTAAACAAATAAACCCAAGGCATTAGCAAAACAAATCCACTGACACTTAAAACAAAGGTGTGATGCCAAGAGCTGACACCAACAACTCTGAATTATTTTAATGCATTCTTCTAATGGCTATTGTTAAAAAGTGTTTATCAGCTCTCCTGGATCCATCAGTGGTTTGTCAAGTGAGCTGATTTCAAAACTAATAAAGACCATTTCAAGGGTAATTAAGTTCTAGTGATTTTTATTTCTTTTCAATTCAATCAATTCCTAACACCAGACTGAGGTTTGTGAAGTACTGAAAAGCTACTGATGAACAACAGATTCTGCTGTTGCAATCAGAAAGCATTTTGTGCAATTCCAGTATTACATAAAGCAAGAGAAACCCTTAAAATGAAAGAAAATAGCAACAGGATAACACAGCATCTGCCATTGCTTAGAGAACAGGAGCTCACAGGCCACATCACTTGCTGACCCACTGATAGAGCTACTGAATTAAATTATCCACATACATTTTTTCAGCACTTGTTTTAACCTTTTCTTTGTAGCTCAAAACAACCAACTGGTCAGAAAAGTGACCGCAGGAAAATGAAGTTTAGGATAAAAGTGGTAAAATACATTTTTACCTTTAACAGAAGTTTATGTCTAAAAAGTGGTAACTCTGAAAGTGACATCTTTAAAAATATCAAGTATCTCTCCCTTTCAGTTAAAGCACACAGCTCATAATAAACACCTCCAACACCTCAAGAGGTTGTTAATGCCAGTCTGCATATAAAATAACTCCACAATGAAAACCAAGCTAAGCTGAAAATGAAAAGCACGTTTATCAGAATGGAAGGAAAAGCAACAATACTATGTTCAAAGTTAAAAATGGGTCTATGCTACAAAAATGTGGCTTTGTCTTAAGAGTTTTTATCAATTGGGTTAAAAACTTGTTTGTGTATTTTATCAGCTTCACAAATAATGGCAGAAGAGAAAAGAACGCAGGAGTTTGGTTCACAAATGGAGCTGCAAGGCTACCCAAGTCCAAGAACTGGGAATAAACTGGTAAAGACAGAGAAGCTGCATGACATTAAACATGCTAAATTAGTAAGCAAGACAATCTGTACCATCATCCTGAGGAAATATAATTTTCCTACCTGTTGTACGCATAAATAACTTATGTGGCTGACTCTCATACCCCCGAGATGTGTGCAGAGCAATCCAATCAGGATTTATTAACTTTGCACTGTAAAACAAAGTACAGACACATCAAAATGTAGACAGTTCTCATTTCCCTTTACACTCCTCTCAGCAATAAAGATGACACGCACAGGAGCATATTCCAAGAATTAAGATGAATGGAGAAGGAATATTTCAAAGAGCAATAGTGATCGGTGAAAGATTTCCCTTACGGCTACAACAGTTTATGCTATAGACTTTAGCTACTATTTCACAATTAAAAAGAAATGATCTTTGCAAACAGTAAGACTGGAATACAATATTTATTAGGACGAGATAACCACCTTCAGTCTAGTTCCACTGACTTTTAAGAAAACAATTGTAAATACCTTTCATGCTTAAGTATTAAATATAAACCATTTACAGTTCACATAGATGCCCCACATAACTCAGCCTGTGCACTTTAACCTACATTCTTATTCCATAAGTCCCATTCCAACAGCAGTAAAGCCCTTGTGGAAAAAGTATTCCAATAACAGAATTCTATTTACATGATATCCAGTCATCAAATGTCACTTGGGCTCTCAGCACATGAGAGCTTTCCCATGAGATGCACCCAATTCCTACAGCACTTTTCTCTGTGCATCACCGATCCAACAGGGGCTTCTATGGAAAGATAAATGTCTAAGTCACATCTAAGCCTGCTAAAGTTTACAGACCTGGCAAAAAGAATGTAACTCTTCAGTTCCCCTTGAGATAATTACAAGACAGAAAAACAGCAGTATTAGTTTTAAGCAATAGGGATACATATAACATCTATTTCCCTAACTTTAAGGTAGAAAACAACACTCTCCATTTCATCAGCTGCCCAGATTGGTAGTTTTTAGCTACTGGTTTTTCCTCAGTAGAGAAAGACACAGAAAAGGAAGGGAAAGGGGGTTAGAGAGATGAATTTGGTATTTCATGAAGTATTTTGAATCATGAACTTACATGTAAGCACACACAAGACTGTGGTAGGCAGTAAGAGGTGGATAATCCAGGCCCCAGTACAGCAGGTTGTTATCACTTGTATTGAAGTACCTAAAATAATAATAATAATAATAATAA